TATTGTAAATGTCAAATTAAAGCGCCAAATATGTAACTGAACTTGGCTGTAATTTTATACAGGGTTGTATTGCGTGTTATTATTTTTCTGACGTTGTAAAATCAAGTGCGGAACACATTGAAAACGACAAGCTACGGGCATCAGCTACCAATTTGTTATCTTCGTTATCTACAGCAGAAGGTACATAATTTTATTTTCTGACGCGTTGCGTTGATCCGTTGGAGCGTTGCCGACGTTAAAAAATTGGCTCTTACACACCTTGCATTGTGCCGCTCATTGATAAGCATATCCACAAATGTAATTTCAAATGTCAACGCATGAACGCAACAGAAAAGTTGCGAGTTGGTTTACTTTCGGCGGCAACTACGTTAGCGTATTCGAATCGGCGTCGTCTGTAACAGCTGTCATACAAACACATTTGTTCAATTTTATTTGACATTGACGGCGTGACACATTTGCCGGCGAACACATGTTGTATACCTTCGCTTTAAACGCTTTGTCGATGGTGACATGAATTTTTTAACGCGGCAGCAAATAGGAATAGCGCTTATCTGGCCACAACCACAGTCGTCGCGTAGCCCCGTCATCGCCATAATAATTATCAAGCATACGTGGAAAAATAATTTGACAGCTTTGATCCTAGTGCGGTGTCCATTATAGATTTACATCCTTTGAGGTGATTATTAAAAAATAATTTTATCGAATTTTACCAGGCCTTTAGAATTTTATTGGACGCCGTAAGAATTCTATTCGGAGCCAAACAAATGCAACTCTGCCATCTCATTTCAAAATGGCTATTGTGTGTGTAGAAGAAACCGTCGTTAAACGAGAACGAAACGTTTAGTGCGAATTAAAATTGTAAATATTACGAATCAAATTGAATGTTCCAAATTAGAAAAGCGTGTAACTAAAAGCTTTGTAGCTCTCCGCTCAAGGTTAGCCAGTTTAAAGAAGCTCAAGCGCACGTCAGTTTGCTAATTTACTGTCTGTAATTAACGCATGCTATAGGAGCTGCTACCAGAGGGTGTGTATGTCCGTCTGTGGGACTCTACAGGCGTATCGGCGGATCGCTGCTTGTGACAGCTGCTGTCAACGCGTATCTGTCGGCGTCGCTGTTCACGTTTAGTAGTTGCGCTATTCGCTGCCTCGCAATCAACTTTTTAGACGCTGAGTTTGAAATGTCAACTGTGGAAAAATAAAGGAAAAAGTAGTTAATCATCAAAACCTGGATTAATATACATAAATTTTTAAATTGAAATTCTGTGTTTTTAATGGACGAGTTTGGAAACTTTAATCTGGGTAAAGAACACAATAATTTCACCAGGGAGAGCAACGTACAAACTACGAAACTCACACCAACAACAACCAATCAAGGAACAATAGCCACAACGCAGGTAGATCGCTGCGAGGGTGATGCGATTCATCCGCGTTTACTAAATAAACA